GTAGGGCGCCCCCTGCTGGCCTGGGGGAGCGGCCTTCTCACCTATCGAGCAGGCTGGGGACCCCGCGGGTCGCGCGGGGAAGGGCCCATCGCTTTGCCGCGCGCGTCACTCAACGGAAAGACATCATGAGGGCAGCCGGCGTGCTGGGCGATGGGTTGGAGTCCCTAGGGGGAGGCCTTCGCGCTGAGCCAGCCCCGGACGTGTGGGTGCCGGCCAGTGGGGCCCGGGCCGTGGCCGCAGCGCCGGGCGGAGTAAGGAGAGCGAGAGGATGCAGGCTGTGTGGGGCGGGGACGGGCAGGACAGATGCTCTGTGACAACGCTTTTAGAATGGCCCTCTGTGGAGAGTGAATCGTGGAGGGGACGCGTGCACGCGGGAAACCGTGAGCTAGTGTGTGAGGGCAAAGGCGGCGCTTGCTCGAACCCTACTGTTACCAGGGTGCCTGAAGGAGAGCGTCGAGGTGACGCTTGGTTTGGGGCAGAAATGCTGGGTGTATGAGGTGGCATTTTCCATTGGAGAAAACTGGCTGGATGTAAGTTGTTCTGGGTGTGGGAAAAAGGCATGACCAACAGGGTCTGAGATGCCCACTGTGCATGACTGCGTGAGGTCTGGGAGACGAAGGACCGAGATTTGTTAGATGCTTGTTTGTAGATGGTAACAAGTCAGGGCGCTGATGACATCGGAGTTTGGGGTGAAAGCCACAGAAACCTAATCTAGCCCTCCAGCAAAGGGAGACAGGACTTACAGGCTGGAGGGGCCCTGCTGAGCCAGAGGAGGAGAGGGAAGAGCCAGGGGCATGCAGCGAGTGCCAGGCCCCACCTCTGGGTCCGATGTTCCTGGAGGGAGGATCTGATTGTCCACACTTGAGTTTCCCCCGGCAAGACTGTATAGACGGGGAGATTCCTGCACAAGGCATCAGGGTGCCCATGGCAGGAGGAGGGTCGTGGGCAGCCCCAAATGCCAATGTCCACGAGAGAAGTCAAGAAGGAAGTGTTTCGGTAAGGAAAAGTGTGTTGGCTGCTGCTGAGATAGAATAAAGACAGAAAATGGCTGGCCTTTGTCCCAGATCACCCTGTCTCCCACAATCGGACCCCCATGTGGTCCCCATCCCCTATTCTGGAAAGTCTGCTACTGCGCCCTCGCGTCCGCCACCAGCACACACGCACTGACATCTTTCCCCCTGCTCCGTGGAACCGGGGCTTCCCCAGGGCCTCAAGTGATGTGTTCATTTTCACAGAACTCCTGTGCCTCTGGGCCTGGAGTGGGGTGGGTGCCCTCCTGACTCTTTATGGCCACTTCTGGGCCATTTCCCCCTCCGCCTGAAAGCTCCCAGCTTTAACTCACTTTCTCAATGACAATCCACCACCCTCTGCTGGTCTCTCATCTCCAAGGCCAGGTTAGTCCCCTTTATTCTTGATTTCAGTTCCTGAGTCACTGTCATAACCTCCAGTAATGGTCTTGCAGGAATTCTTAGTGACTTCGGAATCCACACAGGTCATCTTGGCCTGTCTTAATATGTACCCAGGGTTGGTTTTAATCAAGTAAGGTGACAGACACAAAGACAACTGCTTGAAAGGAGTTCAGCGCTTCCAGCCCCCGAGGAGGGCCAGGTCATAGCACCCAGGGCCACGTGGGACATGCAGGGGTTGGTCAGGAGACAGGAGCAGGAGCAGCAGGGCCCAGAGCCTGGACTGTGTGTTCCGTGGGAAGGGATGGGTGAGGCGGCACAGGCGAGTTTGAGCACACTTAGGATTGGGTAGTGTGAACCACTGCAGGGGCTGTGGGCGACGGTGATGGTCTCTAGCTGTCTGGTGCCACCTGGTGACCAGCAGCAGAGTATGGGCCTGGGGTGTGAGTTAGATAAAGGACGTGGTTACCCAGGGGTGAGCTCTGGATTGGCCAGTCTGCACAGGAAAGGCGTGTTCTCAGGAAGTTGTTTGCTGTCTCTGGGAATTAGCAAGCTGTGGGAGGGAGAGCCTGTCCCCAGCCAGGAAGCCCCCCAGATGTCAAAGCATCATAAGGACAGAAAACTAACATGACCCATAGAGCCGTGGTCCCGACTCCTCCCTCCGAGATGCTTCTCCAGTGGGCTTCAGCAGCTCCCTCCAATGGCTTTCTTAATTTGTCTGCAAAGATGGGTGCCAATGACTCCCAGCCCTTTACGTTCAGCTGTTCCTCCCGCTGGAAGGTGGGCCCCATCCCCTCCTGCTGCAGCTGGGCCAGACCTGGCAGCATTGCAATGAAAGAGATGCTGTGCCAGCTGCAGGTGCTCAGGAGGCCCGAGCTTCCACGTAAACGTGTCTGGTTACCCTGCTGGAGCAATCACAGAGGGAGGGTGCCTGGACACGTGAGTGACATCGGTTCAGACTTCTTGCCTGTCATCCCCGGTGACCGGCTGTGCCAGCTCTCTACCAGTGCAGAATAACCCACCTCAGCTATTACTCATCCTGCAAACTGAGCTGCACTCGGCCCGGAGGCTCTTCCATTCCGGGGTGTCTGCTGACCACAAGAGCGTCAAGGTGTCTTTTTCTCCTGCATGTCTGACATCTCGACCGGGGTGGCTGGGAGAGCCCAGGTGTTGTAAAGTGACATATCTGGTCAGGTGTCTCTTCCATGAGGCTTCTCCATTTGGCTATTTTGGGGTGTTGCACAGCACGATGGTCTCCAGATAGCGAGACTGATTACCTGGCAGCAGGCCCCCAAGAGGGAGTTAGGGGAAGCTGCCGGACCTTGGACCTGGGCTCTCAAGTCCCAGAACTTTCTACCACATTAAATGTGTCCAAACAGTCACAGGCCCAACGTGACAGGAGCGTCACACACTTACAGGGAGGGCAGGCACTGATGGTGACAATTTGAGACAATCGACCACACCAGCCAACAGCAGAACCAACCAGCTGAGCCCAATGTAGATTACAGAACCATAAGAAAATAGTTGTTTTAAGCCAGGACGTTTCGGGGTGGTTCGTGATGCAGAGACAGATAACTGCAACAAACCTGGGTACTTGGAAGTGAGATACTGCCACAGCAGAATTCTGGAGTGTGGCACTGACTTTGGAACCAAGCAGCAGGTGGACGTGGGCAGGGCGGTGAGGACAGCGCTGACAGGCTGGAGAGAGGGTGAGCCATGTCAGGTATTGGCAGAAAGATGGCAGGACGGCCGCCTGCGGTAACGGGGAGACAGAACCGTGTCTGACGGTTTCCCGCAGGAGGCTTAATGGTCCACCTGGCTTTCCACACAAAACGTCATACAGTAGGGCCTCGGGGATCTTGAGGTCCTTGTCCCACGGCGCCTGGCTGGTAGCCTGCAGCAGAAAGGGGCCTCCTCAAAGACATTTGCGATGTAGCTCTTGTCTAATGAAGTGCATGATAACACACGGAAATGTAGAAAATCAAGTGTTTCCTTTAAAGGGTTGTATCTACTTAAATGAAAATGAACAGTTTCAAATAAATGAGGCCCCTGGGCCCCTAACTTCTGACTAGCAAGAAGCAGGCCGAAGAAGCGACTCAGTAGCAAATATGGCCACTTCCAGTGGAAAAGGGAGGATGACTGAGAGTGGAGAGCCAGCAGCCCGGAGGCGGCAGCTAAGGACCTCAAAAACGGGGAGCGGGAAGCCCTGGTCACGGACAATGGGCCCCATGTCGGGGGCCTCCAGAACTGCGACGGACCGCGACTGTGGCGTGCGTGTGTCTTTGTGGAGGGGGAAGTCTGTCACTTACCCTGTGCTTCCCCAGGGGCGCTGCGTGCCGGAGGGGCAGATGACACGCCTCTGAAGCAAAAGGGGCCATGCCCGAGGTGCCTATCCCCATCGGGCCCTTTTGCACATCATGAGACACTGGACTCCAAGCCTTACACCTGGCGACATGGTGGCTCTGGGGTCTTGGGAGACCCTGAGTGCAAGCTTCACACGGGAAGGGGCAGAGGGCAGCCCCCCAGGGAAGCCCACCCCAGGACTTGAGCTCCAGTGCACAGGCCTCTTGCACTGACCCTGGGCCTGCCTCCAGGACATGCTTTGCGCAGCGGGTCACCAGCAGCACGATACCATCAGAGGCCTGATAAACGCCTGCGGGAACTGTCACCTAGAGCACAGCCTCCATGCTGTAAGGAAGTCCAGCTGTCTGGCCACGTGGGGCACCTGGACAATGCGATTTCACACAGAGGGAGGTCACGTGGAAGAGACAGGTGCTTCAGCTGAGTGCAGTCAAAGGAGGGACCCAGCTGACACCATGTGGAACAGAAGGTCCCATCAGTCACAGGGTTGTGAGAAACAATAAGCCAATGTTGTGTTAAGCTATTAAGTTTTGGGGTGATTTGTTACACATCAGCACATAACAGAAACATACGGTCACCACCAACAGCTGCGGCCCCTCACCGTCTCAAGTCTGTGCATCTCTGACCACGTGTGACCACCACTCCCATCCTTCCAGCTCGCTCGTCTAGTGCCTGGACTCGGGCCCACCTGTCCCTCCGCTGCCCCCTCCTCTCCCTACTCGGCTCCAATGCCTCTGTCTCGGGCTGTCCCCTCCCTCCCCGCCCTCGCTGGGCCAGCTGGGCACCACCCCGGCCTTGGCTCAATCCCATGCGCTTCTTTCTCTTCGCCATCTCCAGAGCAGCTGAAGCACCGGGGGGAACACACGGGCCCCTCACACTGCCCGCCATCCTACTGTATCTTCCTCGCTCTCTGGTTGGTCAGCTGCGTCGCTCCTCGTCCGCTCCTCGGGCCAGTGACATTTGCCCCCTTCTCACCAACAACAGACGGCCCTTTTCATACTTGATCTGAAAAGTAGGACGTTCTCAGAGAACCCCCCAGACTGCTACATCCACACCACCAGCCTCCCCCACCGTGTGACGGCGCCAGCTCCTCCTAAGGCCAGCTCCTGGCACGCAAGCCCCCTCCGTCTCTCCTTCTCTCTGGGGTCCTCCCCGTGGGTGAACGAACATGCCATTTCCCACTGTGAAACCAGCAATCGCTCTGACTTCTCTTTCCAGTTTTGATTCCATTTCTCTGCTCCCATCTTCCGCAAAAATGCTTCAGAAGACTCTGCCCCGTGGCCTCCAGCTCTCCCCTGCGCCCCCTTGCCCGCGCTGCCCCCTTGGCACCATACTCAAGGCAGCCAGCGCCCTCGTGTTGCTCAACCTGGGGATCACACCCCACTCCTCGCCCCACAGGACCGGTAGCGACACGGGGGGGCCGGCCGGCCGACCCGCATGCTCTCCCCGTGCTCCCACCCGACGCCGAGGCTCTCTGATCGGCCCCTCCCCCTCCCAGCTCTTCTCTGTGAACTCGGAGCACAGGCCTAACTCTCTGGCCTCTCTTCCCTATCTGCATTTTCCCCATGGTGATCTCATGCACTTGTAAGGTTTTAAATACAACGAATATGCTAATGAGTGCCACACTGATACCCACAGGCTGGACATCTCCCCTGGACTCTACACTCGTGTATCAACTGCCTGTAACCTTAACATGGGGCACTGGCGAGAAATCTAAGTTTATTTTGCGGAGCCACTAGAATTGGCGGTTGTTTGCTGCTGCAGCACAAACAGGGCAGCCTGGACCGGGAATGCTGCCGCCACACGTGTCCAGACACCACCATCTCCTGGATGGACGCTGCATTCGCCTCCTAAACAGCCTTCCTGCTCCCATTCTCCCCTGGAAGATTTCGTCTCCTTCGGCCAGCCCGATTCATCGGAAAGCTGCTCCTCTGTTCAAATCCTCCAATGGCTTCACTTCTTTGTTTTAAATTTTCCAATTACACGCAACATACGATATTATATTAGTTTCAGGTATACAGCATAGTGGTTAGACATTTACACCACTTACGAAGTCTTCACCCTGACAAATCTAGTACCTGCCTGGCACCATAGTTATTACAATACTATTGACTGCATTCCCTATGCTGTATTTGACGTCCCCCAGACTGTTTTTGCAGCTGGCGATTTGTACTGCTCAATCCCTCCACCTTTCTCACCCAGCCCCCAACCTCCCCTCCCATCTGGCGACCATCAGCTTGTTTTCTGTACCTGGGTTTCTATTGCTTTTTTAGATTCCACATGTAAGTGAAACCATATGGTATGTGTCTTTCTCTGTCTGACTTATCTCACTTAGCATAATACCTTCTAGGTTGCGACGTGTTGTCACAAAGGGCAAAATTTCATTCTTTTTTTATTGCTGAGCAATATTCCATGGTATATATGTACTACTTCTTTATCGATTCATCCATAGACACTTAGGTTGCTTCCACGCCTTGGCTACTGTAAATAATGCTGCAGTGAACAGAAAACTGCATATATCTTTTCGAATTAGTGTTTGGTATTTCTTTGGATCAATACCCAGAAGTGGAATGGGTGGGTCCTACGGGAGTCCCGTGTTTAGTTTGAGGAACCTCCATACTGTTTTCCACAGCGGCTGCACCAATCTGTAGTCCACCAACAGTGTATGAGGGTTCCTTTTTCTCTACATCCTCACCAACACTTGCTTATTTACTGATGGTGGCCATTCCGAGAGGTGTAAGGTGACACCTCAGTGTGGCCTCACTTCTTTCCGGGTGTAAATCAAAGTTCTTGTACGAGCCTACATGAACCGCCTCTCTGACCTTGTCCCAGGGCTCCTAGTTCACTCCAGTCTGGTCAAACCCACCACCTCCATTTCAGACGTGCCGGATGTGTTCCCAGTTTAAGGGCCTCTGCACCAGCTCTGCAGGCTGCCGGATGCTCTTCCCAATATGCCCACATGGCCCTCTCCCTCTCCTTGCACTGTTTGTTCTGACTTGCCAATGAGGCCTACTCTGCCAACGGCCTTCACCAGGTCCCCATCTCTTAATATTATGGGTTCCCGCCACAGGGTTTATCACTTGGAACAGGTACGTAATAACTCACTTACCATGGGCCTTTTCAGCCTCCTTCAATGGAACATGAGCAGGGGTTTGAAACTTGTCGTGTGCACTGGTGTAGAGCAGTCTCAGTGGGCGGCGGGGGTGAAAGCCCAGCTGGGGTGGTTGCTAGGAGACATGGGTGGCAGGCAGAAGGCCCCCAAAGACGTCAGACCCTGGAGTTCCTGTTTCAGAAGGACCTGGACCGAGCGCTCACCGCCCTGGGCATCGCCCCACCTCCGGTAAGGAGCCGGAGACTCAGAAAAGGTTGGTGTAGCCTGGGTGGGGCGCGGCCCGTGGTCTCGAACCCGGCCCTGTGAGGAGCAGGCAGGAGGCCCAGGCAGGAAGGACGGCGGACCGGGGCCCAGCCAGCTGCAGCGCTCAGCACGGTCGCCTTCCCACGTCTGCGGGCACCGGCCCCCAGCCCCTACCTATCCCATAGAGGCCTCGTCTCCACTCCAAGCCTCCTGCTCGCTGGCCTGAGGACGCGGGACTGTTTCGGGGCGCCGCAGCGAGCCCTGCAGAGACCTCCGACCTACAGGGCC